TGGCGTAGTGCCTAAGGCATTTGACTGCTAACCAGAAGGCTGGCGGTTCAACCCACCAGCCACTCCTCAGAAGGAAGGTTGGGCAATCTACTTCCATAATGATACCCCTCGGAAACCCAAAGAAGGGGTCGCTATGAGTCGGATCCGACTCCACGGCAGTGGGTTTGGTTTGGTTTTAGTACAAACGTCAAGCAGTTGGGACACTGCCCGGCACATGGCAAAAACTATAAATGATACTGTTATCATTACGAGTGGTAGCAGTAGTAGCCCTATTTCTTTTTCTGTTCATATCCTTTATCCAAAGGAGCTCTAGTGGCATAGTGCCTAAGGCATCTGACTGCTAACCAGAAGGCTGGCAGTTCAAACCCACCAGCCACTCCACAAAAGGAAGACTGGGCAATCTACTTGCATAAAGATTTAGCACCTCGGAAACCCAAAGGGGGTCACTATGAGTCAGAATTGACTCGATGGCAGTGAGTTTGGTTTTTCCATCCTTTATCCACTTTCCCATCATACAAGTTCCACTGTAGTGTTTCTTCAAATAACAGCTCAGAAAGCCTAACACCAATTTTTAAATAAATGTCAAAGAAGGAAACTAAATAAAAAGGGGCAGTTAAAATCAGACATGCTAAATAAAAAGCTAACTTTTCTTATTATCATCTAAGCCAAAGGTAATGTTCTATGCATAAGGGTCTTAGAGGCTGGAGGGAAGGGGAGAGAAAAGGACGGGGTGGGGAGAATACACCAATAAAAATGAATCACTGAGATTAAGTATATTTTAAAAGTGAAAAAATACCACACATCAGAGATTTAAACATCAGGTGAGGCAGTTCCCAAGAAACCCATGAACAGCAATTAGCTCACTAGACCACTGTCACCTGTACCATCCTGCACGCTTCAGCAGACAAAGTATTTGGCTTTGATTCAAGTGAACGGATTCCTAATCCTAGCACCCCCACTAACTTCCTGTCAACGGTGCCCTCAGTGGTAAAGGGTCGCCGCTGCCACCTGCTCCGTGTGCTTTACAGAGCTGTTCCTGCAAGTGCTATCATGCAAATGCAAGGGACATAATAGCAAGGCTTCCAATTTAATCGCTTCATAACTGATTCAGCCACAAGAAATGAAAAACATCCAATTATTATAAAACAATTTAGTTCCCTTACTTTTAAAGCTAAAATTAAATGCCATTATGCCAGTCTTTATTGGAAAATATAACAATGAAACAGTATTCAAGCCTAACAGGGATAACTAAGGACAAATGGACGTTCAAACACTTAGCTTTAAATTTTGAATTAACGTTTGATAAAAGGAAAGACGAGTTAGCAATACTGAAATGGTCTGTCCAAGAAAAAAAAAAACATCCTGGAAGTACATTCAATCAGATTCAAGTATGTCCTTATATACTGTAATCGTGTTTATAGTTAAAAATCAATTCCAAGTCCCGTTGACTCAATTTCTGACAGTTATTAGTATCACCAAGCCTCAAAATTCTTTTTCTAATGATTTCAAACTTAAGAAGCCAACATTTAAAATCTCTCTAGATGCAAATTCTCTCAAAAATGCAGTGCTTCTCATTGTCAAAAAAAACGAACGATCCGTAATTAGCGAAAGCCTCACCAGAACTCGAGAGGACTGCCTGGTTTTTCAGGGTCTCACAAGTTTCCGCCTTTGACAGAATGCAGTCACCAACTTTGCTACTGTTCTCTACTTAGTGGAAAATAGTTCCCTTTTCCTTCTCTGACAGGTTTCTGCCTTACACTGGTTCCAGCTTTTACAGGTTCTACTATATATTTAAGTATTAAATTACATAGTTTTGAAAATACAGATTCAAAAAAACAGAATTAAAATATATAAGGAACAAAACTGGTATGCACATATAAATGTATAAATAATCATCACTACCATCCCCATTTATTAATTAGGAAAAAAATAAACTATAAGTTGATTCCGACTCATAGCGACCCCCTTCAGGTTCCCGACGCAGTAAATCTTCACGGAAGTAGACTGCCCAGTCTTCCTTCCGTGGAGAAGCTGGTGGGCTTGAACCGCCAGCCTTCTGGTTAGCAGTCAAATGCTTTAGGCACTACACCACCAGAGCTCCTTACCATTTATTATAAGCACCTACAAACAATAGGCACCATACCAGGCTCTTTATAGCTAAAGAAATTAGGGTTGGAAAGGTTAAGCAATTCTCCAACGCCACATAGCTAGCAAAAGGCAGATCGCAAATGTAACTGGATTTAAAGCATAAATTCTTTCCACTCTGCTATGCTGCTTCACAGGGCTTTGCACTATTTGAAAATAGTACAAAGAAACTGTCATCAACTCAATTTAGCAATGACTAGAGTTCATGGCCATACTTCCTAATTTAAGAGAGTTCATGAATCTTTCTTTAGTCTTCCTGAGGTATTAAGAAAACTAGTGTAAGTGCCCACACACCATCCCATGAACAAAAGAGATGTCTCATTTTACTCTGGTAATTATAGGCCTCTTTTCACATAGTATCACTGTAAGACTATACCTGTACAAGCTGATTCTGAGACTGTATTACAACAAACCAAGACAACAACTATTGTAATAGCAAGAGAGGCTGAGGGGAACTTTCTCAGCCCTGGCTGGAGTCTGTCCCAAGGTTCCCAGGAAACTGAAC